CAACTTTGACCACGAAATGCATATGAAATCGTTTATAACGCGAGTCTTCGACAAAATCCAAGAGAAATATGACTCGAAAGACGATACGACGACACCGACGATGGCGTTGAAGCCCACGTACGACGGATTGTGCGATCGCTTGACTCGCATGTCATTAATTGATCCCATTTTGAAGCGAACTCTAAATGTGTTGACTTATCTGGTATTGAATGCAAAGCTATGCAAAGCGTTGATCGAGTTGTGCGAACCCAATAGCGGTGATGTCGCCATTTTCAACAACTTATATCAAACCACTTTAATTGGTTTACTTCTTAGCATATCATGTCTTCCGCGACCACTCAACCCGAAGCCGGAGTTCTTTCTGAATCCCTCGCAGTATTCACAGCACGAAAACGAAATGACGGAAAAGAATTTGGGTTTTAATCTCAATGCACTGACCAATGGTTTTCACGCCATTATCTTAGCTCTTCTCAAACCACACGACACCCGAACGCAGACATTGCTGTGGATCGAGAAGTGCTTGGATTCGTTCAAAGACAGGGCCAAGACGTGGACCAACGAAATGATGTTTATGACGGGAAGCGCTCACAACTCTTCGGATGGTTTCATGATTAACTTGTCGTCAGTTTTGCTCAAACTTTGCAAACCGTTTTGTATTCCCGTCTCTAATAAGCTATTGAAAGTGGACGCGCGTTACTGTCGGCTCAAACAGAGCGGCTATAAGTCATATCTGGAGGCCATCGCCAGCGAAGCCTTTCTCATCCCTTCAGAACAGATTAATGGCGACAAATTTGAGATCAATTTTATGACTCAATGCTTTGTGGCCACACATAAGGCGCTGCACTTAGGCTTTCGTGTCTGGAGGCCATCGCCAGCGAAGCCTTTCTCATCCCTTCAGAACAGATTAATGGCGACAAATTTGAGATCAATTTTATGACTCAATGCTTTGTGGCCACACATAAGGCGCTGCACTTAGGCTTTCGTGTGGTTCACGAGAGGTTCTTGAAGTTAGTCCGCGATTTGAATCAAATGCAAAGTCTTTACAATGAGATGAACGCTCAGTCTTCTGAATCAGAACCCATACAAACACTGCGAAAACGTATGGATAGAAGTGTGACTCAATTTTTGGCCATTAAGACAATGCTTACCGAAAATGACTTCTTGGAAACCACTCTAATCTTTCACATATCGACAGCCATTTGGTTAAACAATTTGGCCATCAATTCAAACGAAATGGAAGCGTCCAAAGCATTCAAACCGATTTCACTCCCGATTTCACACGACTTTGAGTCTCAATGTCTCAAATCTGTTCCCGAATTTATATTGGAAAATGTGTGCGATTTTATCACTTTTGTCAAACACTTCAGCGCAAAGACTTTCGCTTTACCACACATTGATTTGGAGCCATTCATGTCTTTGATTATCATTTTTATGGGATCTCCAGAACGACTGAAAAACCCTCACTTGAGGGCCAAATTGGCTGAAATGCTAGAATCGCTGATGCCTTCCATTCACGACAACATTTCATACAGGTTTGAATGGATATTGAATTGTGAGTTTAGCACACATTTAATTATACGACACTTTCTTTTAGTGCAACTGAAAGACTCTTTACAAATCATCCGCTGAACAATGAATTGATTCCGACGCTAATCCATGTGTTCGTAAGTATAGAGATATCGGACGCGAGCGGCGAAAGTGTCGCTTTTGAGCAGAAGTTTGGTTACCGAAAGCCGATGTATATTGTGTTGAAATATCTGTGGAATAATGAAGAGCACAGAAAGCGAATGAAACAAATGGCGGACTTCGCGCAGAACAATATGGAGGCTATCGTTCCGCCGCTATTCCTCCGGTTTATTAATTTGCTTATCAATGACGCCATCTTTCTCTTGGATGAAGCGCTCAGTTATATGAGTAAATTACGGGAACTCCAGATCCAGAGAGACGGCGGGCAGTGGACTGAATTACCGGCTCAACAGCGCGAACAAAATGAGGCCAACTTTCAACACACGGGCCGTTTGGCCACATTTCATAACATCATCGGAAGGAATACAATCAATACGTTGAGTTGGATTACCGAAGAGATTAAGAGTATATTCAGCGATAAGACACTCGTGGACCGAATGGCATCGATGCTCAACTACTTTCTCCTCCATTTGGTTGGACCGCAAAAGCGTAACCTAAAGGTTAAGGATCTGAAACAATACGAGTTCACTCCCAAAGACATTGTTCACGACATTTGCGCCATATATGTGAACCTCGCCAATGAAAGTAACCCCAAATACAAGCACTTCTGTTTGGCCGTCGGCTCCGACGACAGGTCCTATTCTGCGGATCTGTTCCCCGCGGCCGCAGACGTCCTCATTAAGTCTGGTTTCGTCAGTCTCTCCACTGAGACGCTAGAAGTGGCCAAATGTGTGGACATTCTGTTAGTACACCACAGGAGTCGCGAAATCAATATGAATGATGTGCCCGAAGAGTTCACCGATCCTATCATGAGTTCCCTAATGAGCGATCCCGTCATTCTCCCCAACTCTGGCGTCAGAGTTGACCGCTCGACCATTGCTCGGCATTTGCTCAGGTATGACATACACCACACACACAGCTCTTTAGTAATGCATTTAATTAATTATGAAATATGTATTGAATGTGTGTTTCAGTGACCAAACGGATCCGTTCACTCGGGCGCCGCTGACCATGGATTTGGTGGTTCCAGATATTGAACTCAAGCAACGCATTAAGGCTTTCGTTGAAGAAAAACTTAAAGCGAGAGAACAAACGACTAAATAGTTAATATATTAAATAAAACAATAAGTGTATAATCTTTTGTAAATGTTATTCAAATTGTTTATTAATTTCTGATATATATTTGTTGTGAAAAAGTTTATTCAAATTTTATATGAATTCAGATTAAAATATTTTCCAAAATAACGGGTCATTTACAACATTTTTTTATTATGAAAGTCTGGATCGTTTGGATCGACCACTTCTTCGTCGTTGAATGGGTTCTTCGTCTGAATCCCCAACAATCGCTTCGTTTAAATCCTCAACAGTCTCTTCATCAGTGCTATCATCGATACGATGATTGTGTGCCGAACCGTTGACCCCTTGTGTGCTATCATTGGCCACCGAATCGCTATCACTTTGATTGGTGTTTTGAGTGGTCGTCGACGCGAATTGTTTCGCACAATTGGGACACTTGTTGTCGGGTATAAATTGCACGTCAGAGCAGTGGTAATGCAGTTTTGTGTCACAACTCATGCAATTTAAGCCACGGATGCACAGGATTTTGCATCGAAAGCAGTCCTGCACTTCAAACCGCTCTCTGATATAAACACTCATCTCGAGTAGTGTCCGGATTCCGATCGCAATCTTCCCGTCGGACACATCTTCGAACCACTTCTGTTCCACCCATTTGTTAGTCAGAGTTTCGGAGACCGGGAGCGAGAACTTAATGTCGTCTTCGCGGCCAATGTTCAACATCTTTGTGGACGCGATGCAAGAGTTTTTGTTTTCAATGATAGCGGCCATCAATTTCCTGAAATACAACAACTCCTTCTGCGACCAACTGTTGGCCATTCTTGTGATGTCGTTGTCGGCGGTGTTGATGAGGGCGTAATAGATGGTGCCGTCGCTCTCATTGGGTCCGCGACTCACAGAAATATTATAAGCCCTCATCTGTCGGTTCACACGAGTGACCACTTCGGCCACCAATTCATTGCTCGCTTCAGTGGCCGCCTCTTCGCCTATCGGATCCCATCATTAAATAATTGATTTTTATTTGAAATGACAATCAATGGTAACACTTGTGAGACAATACCTCTCTTGCATTTGGTCACCAATCGCTTCAAGTTGTCTTCGCTCACGCACTGTCTCCACATCAATGACTGGATCAAGTACTTCGTCGTGTTGTCGCTTTCCGAAGACATTATCACTCAATGTCTGTCACTCTTAACCACTAATATATGAAGTGATTGTCGTTTTGAAGATATCGTTAAAAGTCTTCACAAAAAATTCACTAATTTTTGCGCCATTTGTTTGCTATGAAAGGGCTGTTCATATATTACATGACATTTGTTTTACAATCAATAACTGTTTCAAAGTTTTAGTTTTGCGTTAAATTTTAATCAATTTAATTGTTTAATCGTTTAATTATAACATTTAATTATAACCCTATATATAAACCATCAGATCTAATAACAAGGACTAGTTTACAATTGTTGGCTAGGTTTGTGAGCTTATGGTAAGTTTGATTGATTGTCTTGGATGTGGACCTGAGAGATGTTGCTCTCGTGAGGCAGTAGTCCTCTTCGCGGACAGAATATGTGATTCATTGAATAGTTGCATAAATTGGTCACAAAAGACATATAAATGTCTGAATAGCGGAACAGACGGCGAGAGAAATACGTGGGATTGTTATGCGTCCGGAATATACTCCCGAACTGTGGGTTGAATAATGTCTTCGTACGCGCTCTGCAAATACCATAACATTTATTCATATCATTATCTCATTTATAATTATCATAAGAAACGCATCAATACCTGAGAGCGTCTCTTTGTTGGATCAATTGATCCAACAGATGATTGTCATTAGTTTTGTGCGATTCGTCGATAAGTAGTTGTAAGGCCTGTAAAGCACTGACAGCTTCTCTAAAGTCCTCCGAATTAAAAGTTTTGATTTCTCTCTGAAATACAAATCAATTCAATTAGTTTGCAAACGTGTCTGAAGTGAGTGGTTATGAATATACTTCGAGTTCAACGATAATAGCGCCGGTTCTCCACCCGAAGTTCAACGTAATGTCCGCCAAATCACTGTAAATCTGATCTCCGAAGTATAGAATTGAGTTGCCTTTCCATCCCGTCATCTCAAGCAACTGATGAACAGTTCCCTCCATATAGATGTTCCCCCTCTCAAGAGTCGACACTTTCTCCCATTTCTGACAATCACTTTCTATATCATAGTGTCTGAACGGTCTGACAAATGGATCAAATGGTTGTCATCTCTGGAAACACATTACAGATATATTTACCTTCGTTTTAAATTAAAGAATTTAGGTTTTCCTGCTTTTGCTATAATCACATCAAACAATTGGTTCCAATCTTTTCCAATCATATACTTCATCCCAATATCACTACACAATAGTAGATCCAAATATTTAAAAGTTTTGCTTAAAGTTGAATAACAATTAATTTACACAAATTTGAAGGGACTGTTGGTTATGAGAAACATCTTCTTATTATTATCTTTAAGTCTATGGAGAAAAGTATTGAGAGAATTATGTTTATCCAGATATTTATGGATCAAATTCTCGTCAATCATTTTATGCATCAATGGATGAATACTCTGAACGGCGTTCTAGATATACATAAAGAATATATAATATTAATAGCGATCATGTTGTTTGTCTGTCTTCGGATCAGTTGATTAATACCTGTGTGTCATTAAAGAGAATCTCTGGAGAATACGTGATGTGATTCCTATTGAAATAGTCGGTCACATTAGAGAGCAGACAAATCTCGGGGACACTAAACAAGTCGTTTAGTTGTTTCATTCGTAATTGCTTTCAAGTTTGACAAACAAACAAAATTTATTTATCAATTAAACATTATTTTGTATCACAATATATATGAAGACATACCTCTCCACCACCAGTAGATCTAATTAACTTTTGCGGAACATAACTGCCTAATGGAGTCAAATATTAATGTATTCAGTCATTCAAGTAATTAACATAACAAACCATTATATAAATTGAGCACTTCTTCGTCGTCGATACGTGTGAGCCCTTTGTAAACACTTCCCAATTGGATTTGATGGAAGGAATCGATTTTCATTAATAGACCCTATTTTACAATATAATTAAATTGTTGTTACAATCGTGAGTAATATTCTTCATCGACTGTTGGCATACATTCTCGACGTCGTAATGCAATCCTCTTATGGCGAAGTCTGGGATGTAATCGAGTTTAAGAATATCCTTTGGATACTAGTATAACATGCAATCAATTTGTTTTAATTAAAGAGTTTATTTGGCTATATATTGATGTGAATCGATGGCTAACTTTGTATTTCTCTATCAATACATTTCTCCCCAAATCATAGATCAAGTAATGAAGAGATTCTTTATAGACGGCGAGTGTGTAGTCGTAATCAAAGCCATAGACTTCGATGTCAGACAAGTCGAGTTCGTTGTTGGCAAAGACATAACGAGGTTCAACAGAACTGGCCGTATGGACCACTGCAACAGCGAGACAGCGAGACATTAGTGCCATAGTTTATATGAGTTGTATATAATAGTTCACACTTACCATTAAATTTGGTGTTATATCTGTCCGACAGATCCGATAACTTAATGCCAGAAGACTTCGGTATTTCATTACATTTATATACACTATTCGTAAACTTCTTCTCATTTAAGAGAAAATTGAATTTCAATTGATTTGTTAATAGAGTCCTAAAAGAGTGACATTTTCTATAAATTGCCATTTAATACAACAATTGTCATGAAATTTATCAATAAATTAGTTAACGACTAATAAAATCTAAATTCGGTTCTAATGTATAGTTCAGTAAATATTATAATTAAAAATTTTAAAATTCTTAAATAAATATTTAAATAAATTTATTTAAAGTTTACTAATCATAAAAATGAGTGCATAATTAGCTAATACTGTCCACTAATACTAAATAAGCACAAAATTAGTGGCAAATGTATCACAAATGCATTGAATCATCCAAAATATTGGTTTCAAAATCTCTTGAGATCTCTGCGCATAACCTATGCGTACAACACATCCAATCAGTAGTCAATTGCTATTCATATGAATTGTTATTTAAATTAAATAATTGGTTACCAAATAATTTTTGCGACAAATAATGAATTAAATGACAAAAAATAAAATAAATTTTATTGATATTTAAAAATACATAATCAATGATTAAAGTAATAAATGAATTGACAAAATAAGTGGTGTCTAAAAGGGTCTGAACTTTCTCTGAGACTTCATTAAAGCGATTCTCTTCTTGTCGTCTTCGAAACGAGTCCTTAAATTCATTAAATAATTAATTTTACTCTCTTTTTGTTGAAATGAGTAAAAGTCGAGCAAATCGTTGGACGACTTCTTCCGCAGTTTGTTCTGCTTCTCAATGATCTTCTGGTCGTTGGAGTAATTGTTAGGCAAATGTCTTTTGCCTGAATGTCTGTTCACTTTAATCCATCCGTCGGCGTCCGGAATGCCATCCATTTGTTTCGCTTTAAGTCTCTCTTCTTCTACTTGTTTGTCATGTTTTGCCATAAATTCATTGATCTCTTCTTGTAATTCATTTGAGTCGACAATCGATTCGTTATATCTTTGTTTCATTGCTTTCAAACCAGTCATGTGTTGATCAGAATCTGGCTTAAGAGTCAACACATCCGATGCTTTACTCAAATTCAATGCCTTCTGAAGACCCGTCGGACCCGTGAAGACAACGAAACATACTTTGTATCCATTAATGTCTTCACTTTTATCCAAATAATGGCTTTTATTCGTTGAACGGATATTATTGAGACTAATCTTCGAGTTGAACATCACATCCGATATTTTGCCACAATTTCTAAAGAGATGTCTTATGGAGAGCTGATCCACAAATGGCGGGACATTGAGGACAAGCAAAGTGTTGGCCAATTGTTTGCTTTCGAGGGTTTGTTTCACTTTGTGTTGTCTCACAAACAGATGTCTTGT